CAATAATTTATAAAGTCACTAATTGGAGCGAATATGAGAATTTTGTACCAAATCCAACAATCGTTGATAAAGGACATGTAGCAATTTCAAACAACTATGATGTAAAAAAATTGGACAATATTCGAGGACATTTAGTTACATTTCCTCTTCATTTCTTAGAGTCAGAAAACTTAATGACAAGTGTAATTTTAAGTTCTGTTACTAATGAAATATTTACCTAAATTGTTTTTTATTATATGTTCACTAGTAATATTTTTATATATTCATATTATTACAATATTTGTTGGAAATTAACATTTTGTTAATTTTAAATTTTTATTTTACATTATATTTTGAGGTTAATATTTACAGCTATGAAGATAATATTTACAACTATGAAAATATTTTAATCAGGTCATCCTTCGGGACCAACCACAAGTATCTATTTGTAATTTTTATAAATGTTTACGAATTTAATACATATTTACAAGTATACTTGAGATGTATTTTATTAATATTATATATTTATATTAATAAAAATGATAAAGGCTATTTTTTTCTTTATATAATATATTACATCTTTTTTAGAGAATTGTTATTGCCACCTAGGGATGTTATATTCTCAAAAGTAACTGTTAAGGCTTGGTTCAAATAAAAGTTCTGGTTAATTACGGTCCTGGTTAAGAATAGTTCAAGTTCAAATTTTAGATTCAATCTGATTTGTATAATATCATTGATTTTATTATTGATCTAGAAGTTAATTACGTTAGTAAATCTAATTTGCATAATATTTTGTATTAATTTTATTATTAATTTAAAAGTTTATTACATATTTTGTTTTGATTAAATTGCTAATAAAAAGTCTCAAAATAAGATAATTGATTATTTTTTTTTTGGTATTAAGGTGATCTTTTGGTCAAGTGTTTTTTATTGTGTAGTCAAGTTATTATACATATTTGAAGAGTACATCTAGTTATACTTGCGCCTTTTGAGCGTCTATTTAAGTAGTTTGCCTATTACTAGGTTCTACACTAGTCGCTATACTTGCAACCCATTTATTTAGATTATTTATCTAAACTCTCTGCACTTATATACTTTGGTCTTCTATCACAATTAGCAACCATTCCTCTAGTTCTATAAAAATACATGTTTCACATGATTTAGAACTTTAAAGCAGACTTTCATCTCCTTATTAACCTATTTCTAATTCTTTATTCTCAAGATAAACTTGGCAGAGCATGTAGTATTTCTATTTTTACTGTGTGATTTATGATTTAGATTTTAGTTAATATGTATGGATTATAGCTTACCACTTGCAGTTCAAGTTTTACCCATTCTGGAAATGTTGTAATATCAGATTAAGATCCTTGCTTATAGTTTTATATTTTTCTGGTTTTAAACTTCTTCTGTTTCTATTCTTGTTAAATTCTAATTTAATTTGAACTTTGCTATTCAACTTATTTCCACTCTTGCAGAATTTACTCAAATTTCAGAACTTACTTCACAATATATTCCTAGTACTTTTAGTAACTCTGTTTTTTTTTTAAAATTCTCAATTTAGATAGTCTGATTTGTATACTTGTTTTTTGTCAAGTTTGATAATGGTGTAGTTGGTATTGGCAATTTTATTTATTTGTTTAGAAATTTCAGACTTCCAAACTAGATAGTCTAGTTATTATATATTTTTCTCTGCATTTAGGTAGATATCTTTTTGATAAAATAGCCTAGTGGGTTTTGTATCAGTATTACAAACTTCAAGAACTCCTCAGTTAGATTGTCTAGTTATTTTTCTTATTTGTAGTAGTCTGATTAGTAAAGATATTTTTTAATACTATTTTTTTGTCTAATTTAGTTTATATAGATTCTGTTTTTTGAATTTAATCTTTATAGTAGTTCTGTTAAAAATTTATACTACTCACTATTTGGGTCTTGTTAAGTAGGTTTCTACACTTGCAGTTTTTTAGATTTATATAACCTGGGTGTATATTTTATATTTATACTATCAATTACTAGTTTGTATTTATTTATATAATATTTCTATTTTATAAATACTCTATACTTTCTAGTCTCACTAATATAATTATAGTTACAGATATTCTATTCTAATTAATTAACCAAATATAGTTAATTGTAATACAAGCAGAACTTTCAACTTTTCACTACCAGTAAGAGTTAAATCTTTGATATGCTGCTTAGAATAACAACTTAATTACTTTACTATATTACTATATTTTTT